AATCATATCTCAGCCTGAATTTGCAGTTTATATTGTAGTTTATTCACAATATGAATAATATAATACGCAACGTCCTTTTTTGATTCTATTCACTAATGAAATTCTCCTGTAATTTTTCAGAGACGCCCAGACTTCCCGGAGTAAGTAGTCGGTACATCCTGCACTGTTCAAGTCAGCGCACGTCTTCACCCTCTAAGATTTATTTCTTTGTCATTCCTTTCAGAGGCCACGCGGCGCCAATGGATACACACCGCCACCTCAAGGTCGGTAGCCAGCAGTGCAAACACACAGGCAGCATTGAGCATAGACTGCGATGGCTGTTCCTGCGAGGATGCGTTCAAATAAAAAACTCACAATTACACAATCAGTCGTAGAAGGAAGACTGAAATCTGATAGCTTATAACTGCATGCCAAGCGCTGTGTTTAAAGGTTAAGTTAAAAAAATGTAATTGCTCAGTAACAGTGTCCAGTTAATACATCACTGGGTAATTAATTTATACAAGTGCGTCATGTTTTAGACTCTGATACGTGATTTTGGATGTAAAACCTTCAAGTTTGAAATGTTTTGCACATTATATCTACAAACAGAGTACGTGCAATTTATTGTGTGCAATTTGTACTTTGCAGCTCTTCCAGTGGTCAAAAAGACTACTGTGCCCGAAGACCACGACCTTCTCCCCATGGACTGCAATGGATTCAACCCGTATCACAACCCCAATGATATCAAGAGGTTCAACATCCAGAGGTCCGACCTGCTGATGGACGACGAGGTGGAGCTCGGCTCTGGGAACTTTGGCTGTGTCAAGAAGGGAGTCTTCAAAACAGAATCGTGAGGAGCCGAACGTTTTAAAAACAGACGCTGAGCCGTACCTATCCGTGCGGCGTGCGTCTACTGATGTCGCTGCCTGTGTTTTGTTTGGATTCAGGGGTCAGATAGACGTGGCCGTCAAGGTGCTGAAGAACGACAACGAGAAGCTGGTGAAGGAGGAGATGATGAGGGAGGCAGAGATCATGCACCAGCTGAGCAACCCGTTCATCGTGCGCATGCTCGGCCTGTGCAACGCAGACTGTCTGATGCTGGTCATGGAGATGGCTTCTGCCGGACCGCTGAACAAATTCCTCTCCTCCAAAAAGTAAGTTCATCTTTAACTTTTTGTAGTTGTGCTTAAAAAAAGTTGTTTTATTTATTTATTTATTGGTAAACTCTGGTTTTTCTTTGAGTCAGTTTCTTAGGAGTTATCCTAACCTGCAGCACAGTTGGGTGGAACCACTTGACATATTTTTTATTTCATTTATTTATTAGTTACGTATTTATTTCAGATATTGCTTCAATGTTTTACATTAATTGTACATTTTTTAAAGTAAATCCAAAAAACAAAGTATTTTGTTGAAATAGCACAAATGACTCAAGTAAACCTTTAAAAAAAATCTTTAGTGAATAAAACTTCAGAGGATTTTTTAAACCAACAATAGTGAGATTTCAGTTTTAGGAGTGTAACTAGGAGACTGATTAAGGTCTGATTTACATATTTTTATATTAAAAAACAACATCTTACTATAACGAGCATGACATATGTATGTATACGTATATATTCCCTTCCTACTCTTACATGTGCAAATAAATCTGGATGAAATTCATGATATAAACATGAGGATTATCACATCTACACTGTGGGAATTATTTTTCATGACACTCAGATCCTTACAAATCCTATATAGCGTGTGTAGAGTCAGATAAAAAAACAAACAAAAAAAACTAGTTCATGCATTTATTACTTCCAGGCTTCCAGGCTAGCCACCATCACTCTTTCCAAGACTTAAGTAAAGCAAACAGCAGCCTATAACTTAAGTCCAGTCAATAGAGATATTAGAGATAAAAGAGCAGGAGAATGACCCGCACAAGCTTGTCCAGCTGAGAGTCACCCTAGGTGAGGTGTTTTGGGCATGTCCTCCCAGGTGAAGGCCCTGGGGCAGAACCAGGGCAGAGCTCACATTTTGCCAACACCTCGGTATTTCCCCTGAACATCTGGATGAGGTGTTTCAGCTCAGACTGTTGCCCCCATGACTCGGAGCTGGAAAAGCAGCAGAAAATGGAGAGATGGATGATTCCAAAACTCCAAATATGTCTTAAGGCAGGGGTGTCCAACTCCAGGCCTGCAGGTCCTTGATCCAACACAGCTGATTACGGCTAATTGACCTCCTCAACATGTCTTGAAGTTCTCCAGAGGCCTGGTAATGAACTAATAAATTGATTCAGGTGTGTTGACCCAGGGTGAGATCTAAAACCTGCAGGACACCGGCCTTTGAGGCCTGGAGTTGCCCACTTCTGTCTTAAAGACTCAAACTTAGGATGGTTCATTTTTCAGGCTGCTTCATTTGAAGGTTTCTGGATACTTAAAACTGCAATAATATTCAGTGTTTTGTTGCATCAAAAGGAACTGGACAAGTTTTGTGTCATCATCATCATCATCGATCGTCTGTCCATCTATTTACTTCTGCTTTTCCAGTCCAGGTTCAGGGGGTGCAGCTGGAGCCCATCCCAGCTGTCTTAGGAAAAAACTACATTTGTGTACTAAAAATATCCTAATGCTTCTTTTCTCTGGACGTTTGTCCTCGCAGGGATACGGTATCGGTGGAGAACATTGTGAACCTGATGCACCAGGTGTCGATGGGCATGAAGTATCTG